CACCCAAAATGGCTGTACATGTCACAGTCAGCCTTGATTAATTATTCATATATTGAAAGTGTCAGATAATAGTAACCGAAATAAATGAGAGCCATCTGGTCATGTGGCCTCAATACAGCAGCCCCACTTTTAAGGTCGAATAAACAGATTTTGTAAAGCTACTGACATGACTAAAGTCTCATTTTTTACTAATAACTTATTTTGGGGCAAAATATTTTAATTTAACACAATGGACAGAAATGCAAACAATATGAAGATGACAAAGCACAAGGTTTTAGATGATGGTGTTAAACCATTAGTGTAACATGTCCTCATGTCACATTAAAAATTCCCAAGTGTCAATGTGCCCCTCTTTCTTTTCTGCTCCTCCTCCCTTCTTCTTGATCTTTCTTGAGTTTATAAGCTTGGCTAGGAGCTCCCAACAGGTGAAAGGAGATTTGAGTTCTCAGGAAGCCCTAAGCCACGATACCTCTGTTCATTGTGAAATTGTGTCCTATAGCACAACCCTATTACACTATTCTTCGAGTTTACTTTGACATAAAAGCTACATTTCAGTCTGATATTTGCAGATCAGACATAGAAATGCTTAAAGGCCTTCTGGAGAAAGGTCATTCAGCACTTGTAAAGTGGTAAGCGCTCCAAGGTCAAAACCTGTAAAGATTATATCCTGACTATATCCTTGAACAGTCCTCCAGCCAGGACTGGAGCAGCACTCAGACCTTTATACTAGAGTATACAAACTTGTGGCCGGCTCATATTAATCAGCGAGCTGTTGAAGCACTGGAAACAAAGTTTACCTTTTTGCCCCAGCACGAGTTATGTGCCTGACAGAGAAGACACACATATTTTTGTCTTAGTCCTTCTATCTACCCTTAAGCTCCCATTCCCAAATTTTATTACCTAATTTACTGAACACCAGGATGTGTTATAGCACCACGAGTGTCTTGATCAAGATCAAAATGGTGTCAAGTGGTGGAGGTTACGCAACCCTTAAAAGCTTTGGTCAGTCATGACTGGCTCCTGCCCTAGACTTTTAACTTGTTGCTGACTGTCTGATCTCACTAGCACTAGGCCCACTTTTGTGTGTGTGTGTGAGTGTCACCCTAGCTCATGATTGATAGGAGTCCATTTTAAGTTAATCAGATTAGTTAGATTTGGCTGTGCTGTACTGAGCTTCAACCGGCAAGCCTCTTACCTCTGATCGGAGAGAGACATTTTGTTAATCAAAGTTTGACAGAATTATTAATACATTATCATAGTAAAATCGTGTTAGTTTATAAATACATATGACATGGAAACAACGTGTTTGCTGTATTTGCGTAAATCTGCATTGTTTAAATAGTTCATCCAACAATGAAAATCCTCACCCTCATGTCCTTAGAAACCTGTCTCCTTTGGAACGAAAACATAGTTATTTATGGCAGAAGATCTGATGGGTCGCTCACAAAGAACGAGTTTTTACATTCTGCTGCGCCACTTTTACCGGCAAACATGTTTGACCCTGCGCGTGAGTCTCGCATCTCTCGCCCACTCTCATTCGACCACACTGCGTCTCCCATTTTTAAACCGCCCTTTTTCCACGATTTTTTTTTTCCAAATCTGTGCGTAGGCCTACGCACGTTTTATAAATGAGGCCCCAGGTTTGCTTGAAAGCACTGTGGTCTCACCTTCTGAACCTTTACCAACACAGTTCATCATACACACCTGATATGAACTAAACCAGTAAGCATGGCATTAAAAAGATATACAAAGAAAAGCTTTAAAGAATCTCTATTTACAATTTTGAGTCTAACAGTGAGACTGTAATCAATTCCCTTAAAACCAAGAAGGCCGCGTGACTGCTTTGGCAAGCTTAAGTTGGAAAATGTGACTGTTTTAATTGACTGACTAAAATTAAATTGCTTCCTTGAAGGCATACATATTACAATGCCTGTTTATAATCTTGGTGCAATAACAGAAGGATTCGATAAATTCAAATAGGATTAAGGGTTTTAAAGATGTTTATTGATATTATGTAGTATAATGTAATCAGCATTTCAGATTTGAAAAAAAAGGATAATCTGAATCATTTAATTCAGGCTTCATTCATTAAACAGTGAGTTTTTTTTTTTAAATGTACCTTTTTCTGAACATGTACAAGAATTTACAATAACATTTTTAACATGTTTATATTCCTTTATAAATCACACACAGGGTTGGCCTTAACTGGCCATATTTCATTATACTGTAGGTGGGTTATAACTTTCTGCCATTTATCATGGTCAAATCTTTTTCATTACAGTCCAAAAATAGTGAGACTCTGCTTGTTGTCCACAACTCCACATGGAATGACATCATTATTTTGAAAGAAAGACAGTCGGCGGGTAAGAAACCCAAGGGTTTCAATATTCTGTATCCCGGGGCAAAACTGACGGAGGCAGCGGAAGCAGAAGAGTGTGTTACACTGAGGGCAGATGATGTTGGGACAACCTTTTCCGTTGTGTGTAAGCAGGGCCTTGCACCCTGGACAGGCCCTGAAGTATGGACATCCTCTCACCGAGCTGTGTTGGTCAGTGATTTTTGTGTTGCTGAGGAGGGCAGCACGGAGCGCACAGTTCGGCAGCGTGCAGGAATTGGTGGTCGGAGTGCCGCGTGGCCACTCTCTCTGACACGCCAGGCAGAACTGAAACACGCACCTCTTCACTTTAGAGCAAGATTTGCAGACCGCACACTGACCATCCAAAACTCCGACATTAGACTGATGACAACTGGGACACTGGAAAGGGGGAAAGAATTGGTGAGATATGGTCACAAAATAAAATAAAAGAGGGACTCCACAGATTCCTTCCACTTGCTTTTCCCAAGTAAAAATGACTGCACCTTTACCTGGAATATTTATTAGTATAATAACAATAGGCCTACTAATATAAAATATATAATGTTTACAATAACATGTTTAACAGTGAGTTATTCCTTTATTGAGGGTAGGTCTGGTCATTTTTCATTTAGCATTAAATATACACATAATGACCAGTAAAATCATAGCACATTTCACATCTCAAATATAGGCTAACCAAAATGATTGAGCAATAGCTCAATGATCCTAAAAGTTTTAACCCAGGAAGGCTCTTCTAGACACTTGTCAGTGGAAAACTGCGTCACAGTTAATCAGACACCTTGACATAGTGTGCTAAATAAAGTCTAAGAGCTTAATTCCCTCCTATAGTATTCTGTTAAAAATCTCGAGCGGTCAAACTACCTTTGGAACGTTCATAGCTCAATCCTCCTGGACAACTTCCACAGATGGACAAACCTGAGAGAGAGAGAGAGAGAGAGAGAGAGAGAGA